AAAAAAATATTTATTTATGTTTAGTTGATGGATTTGTGAGACCTAATAAATCGGTCCTCCATTTTTGTCAGTTTTAGTAGTCATTTTCTTAGTAGAATTAATATTTTGTTTTCCATGTCAATTGTAGTTGTATAATGTAATATTATGCAAGTATGAAAAATGCAAAATGACAGGGAAAGGCTAAATGACTTGGGAATCTTTTGACTATCATCACTAAATTTGGCGCGTAGCTTTTGCAAAAATTGGTTATATTTCCAGCTGTACACCCAGGGCTGGTTATTAATTTAGACAAAGGGCGAAGCACAAAAAACTGAGCCCACTGGCTAGTAATGAAACGTCGGGCTACATTTATAGCAAAAATTCTGAAGTTACACCCCTGTGTAACCACATCGATGTTTACAAGAAAAGGCAGGTTAAATAATAGATGACAATATGCAGAATATTCAGTGTGTTTCTGTCACATGCTTAGGCATGACTGCGGATGATTCAGAAGTATATTGCTTTTTCTTAGCCTGTGAGCAGGAAAGATACGAGAAATAGAAAAATATGATAATATAATTAAGATGAATAAAACAAAAAGCTCACCGACATTACAGTTATGTGCAGTTGCTGGTGGTTTAATTGGGATTGTCGATGCCTAGATCATTCATTGGTGGGAAGATGCAAGTTAGTTTCAAAGAGGAATCAGCTCAACAAGAAAATGTAATTTGCAAAAGTAAAGCCAGGTAAAACCCCCAGTTAAGCCAGACGCAAAACCAGTGACGTTGCCGCAGATCTCCGTAAAATCCAGCCAGGGTGCAAACTGTTGGGCTGACTGAAGGGTGTGAAGCATTCTGCATGAACACTGAGTAAGTCTGCAGCACTCAGTCATTATCTGGGTGCTGCTATCGCCCGTGGAGAAGGGCTGCCCGTCCTTTTGGGCTGGGGAGTAAATTCGCCCTTCAGTGATGCAGGGGGCCGGTCAGGGGAGTGACGTGTCCTCACCTCAGTCTCCAGAGATGTGCCCTTGTTGGCCTTATGCTCTCGAGCAGCAGAGTCATAAGATTCCAAACACACACACACATACGCACACGCACACACATATACACACACACACACACGTGGACACACACAGACAGACAGACACACAGACACGTGGACACACACACTCATGTTTGTATTCATATCTTTATGGGGACTCTTCATTCATTTCTGTAGGAAAAACCCTAATCCCAACAAAGACAACCTTAATTAACCCCTAACCAGCCCTAACCTTAACCATAAGTAACCAAACAAGACGACCATAACCCTACCCAGCCTTAACCTTAACCAAACCGTAACCAAAGAAAGACTTGTGGCATTTTTAGTTGTTTGATAGCATTCATAAATTTATTCTAAAAAATTACCCCACAATGTCAAAATAACAGAATGTTATCACATTGTGGGGACATTTGGTCCTCACAATATATATATACATGACCACACACACACACACACACACACATACATGTATACCCACAAGGGTATTCATACCACACAGACTTTTTGCTATTTGCTATGTCTTGAATGGTATGGGAAGGTAAAATATTACTTAGGTAAGTGTTTGTGTATATTGTCAGTTGAAAATTAGCTCAAAGGTGGTGCTAGACTAACAATCTACCACTGAGACAAACTCTAACAGAATAACAAGACACAGCTAAGAGTAAGATGCAACGCATTAACTCAACAAGATAATAAATGAAATCAACAGATAAGACAGAAATCAATAGCAGTAATAATCCTTAAACTAAACCGCACATGAAAAAATACATAACTACTAGTGAAGCAATGAGTGATAAACGAATGACTCTAGCTGACCGCAAAGACCAGTGGCCTCTACTACGAAGTCGGGTTACTGGGTTATCGGGGTAACTTGTCAGATTTAAGGTAGTCTGTGCAAAATGTAAGTAAACGAATATCGAGTCCATTTAAACTGTGGTACCATAAATCCGACAAGTTACCCCAATAAACCAGTAACCCAGCTTTGTAGTACAGGCCACAGGGCCCTGTATCACAAAACTGTATTTCTGGTTAGCAGGTTATGTTGCTGGATTTAATGTAATCTTGGCTAAATGTAAATGAATGCAGAGTCCATTTAAAATGGGGTACCTTAAATCCTACAAGTTATCTAGCCAACCAACAAATCTCGCTTCGTAATGCAGGCTCTTAGAAGGATAGACAAGATTATCGGTGGCTCACCAAGACCACCCATTGTACCTGAGCTTCTGAGAGTGCCCATGCAGAAACAGATGGTACGCATGAACATCAGGATCAGGTGAAACTAAAGCTGACTGTGATCCTGATGGTCCTTCCATGTCACAGTCTGGTCCGGGAGCGGGGTCAGTCTGTCCGGTGGCGGAAACATATGGGGTCGTTTCATGCTGCCTTGTCAAGGTGACATTAAAGGTGTCCTGTGATGCCAGGCCATACAGGCACAGTTGGTTTATCTCAGAAAAGATCTCAGATGCCCCCCCCCCATCAACTCAAACTACAATCCCCCTACAATGACCTTCTGTAGTGAGGCTGTGTCTTCATTGGCTGAGCCCTACTGCTAAACATCACCAGAGCAAAGCAAACCGATGGCATTATATAGATGGAGAGGGAGCAGACAAAGTGTTAATGAGACAGTCTATCGGTACTGGGGCCAAATTTTATTATTACCTATGAATCAAAAATCATCAGGGGTGCCCTGTTTGCACAAACGGTAATATTCATCAGTTGGCCAGAGATTCAGGAGTGATTGTTAAGTAAAATAAACAACTGTATGGGTCAACTGCAACACTGGGGGCAACCAAGGAAATGAAATGATGAGACGGAGCACAGCTCAACATCTGAAACGAGTGAATTGAGCGGAATTGTGCAGCTGGTCGGCATCTTGAAGGTGGCTTCGCAGCACAGAAAAAGTCCGGATCTCATTTGGAGTCCATGCCCGGTAACCTCCTGTCGTCAAGATAATGGCAGGGGGATGCAGTGCCAAAGCTGATTGTATTGAACACGACTTCCAATTAAAACAGCATATGGCACGGTCGATGCGGTCAGTCAATGCAATGTGCGGTGCAAACACCCTGAATTTCTTCATTATCAACAGGTAAACTTGGTGAACTTTGGTTCGAGCCTGTCAGGGTAACATACGCTGACTCGAGTCAGCAGCAGAGGGGGGAGTGGGGTCACAGGCTGTCGTTTAGCGACAATGTCGAGGCCACAAAGCCTGCACCCTGCGTGTTATGCAGCCACGGCGCCTTTCCAGAAGCTAATCCGCTCCCTCCGTTCCTCTTAAGCTCCATAATTAACGTGACTCCTCCTGTGTGGCTGCTGATAATGGTGTTGGGAGGTGGGGGGGGGGGGAGTGAGGTAATGGGGGAAGAAAAAGGACAGCATGTAGCACAGCAACTGAGCCGGTGAGCAATAAATAAAAACTACATCCCAAGTTCACGTCCCAGGAGGTCTTTCCACCAGTGTGTGCCAACCGGGTTCTGCTAAGCAGCCCATTAATAACAGGAAAGAACAGCTAAGGACACGAAAGCAGATGCCCCTGCTGCCCAGACTTGCTTACCGGCTTATAGCAGAGCTATTCCAAGACCGATACGTGACCTGGGTCCTCCAAGGGTCAGCTAGCTCCACATCCACCTGCAGGCTGCAGGGCAGGCAAGGCGGCAGGTCAAGCGCCCGGGAATCGCAACACACCCCTGCCCTGTCAGATCCTCGCTAAGCGTCGTCGCTGCAGGCTCGATCACGCGCAACTTTGTTGACGCCAGACGGCATCATTACGGCACTAATTGCAGCCATAAACATTTCCTGGCCGGTACATGTAATCCGGGTGGGAATGCCAAAGAAATCACGCCTCTCGGAGGGCTGGCACCACAGCAGGGATTCTGTGATTTTCCATGGTGCCTTGCACTTCATAGACAAGGTACTCTGATACCCTAAGAGCCATCTGTCCAGATTGTTTCTGCCCACTATCAACACTGGTATTGAAGGAGGCATTGATCGGGGGCGATGGGATAGGACTCTGTCTGTAATTGGAAGGTCGCCGGTTTGAATCCTAAAGCCAACAGAGTGATGCAATCATTGGGCCCTTGCGGAAAGCCCTTAACTCCTTATTGCTGTAGGGGTGCTGCACACTGGCTGACCCCGTGCTGTAACAACCTCCCCCCCCCCCAACTCCGACCCCAAGCTTGCTCTCAGCTGTATATGTGTCTCATAGAGAGCCAGGGGAGTCACCATGGATACCCTGCAAATTCAGGGGGTCCCTGCACATGTCAGAGGCCCTTAAATATGTCTTTGGTCTGGAGGGGGGGGCATAGGTGACATTTTGCCATGGCATCCAGAATTTCGAGGAGGCATCCCTGTGGAGAGCATTATGGGATAGGTCAGTGGATAATAAAATATCTTTTCCAAGAAGAATGTTCTTATGTTAACAGGGCTGTTATTTCTTGTTTCCCCCCCCGCCCGCCCCCCACACTATGACAGATGTACATCCAGACGACCACGCTGACCATCTCAGTGAGCCTCAGCGCCTCCGTCTCGCTGGGCCTGCTGTACATGCCAAAGGTCTACGTGGTGCTCTTCCACCCCGAGCAGAACGTACCCAAGCGTGCGCGCAGCCTCAAGGCCGTGGTCACCGCTGCTACCATGTCCAACAAGTTCAACCCCAGGGGGAGTCTGCGGCCCAACGGCGAGGCCAAGTCGGAGCTCTGCGAGAGTCTGGAGACTCAAGGTGGGGAACAGGGGGTCCGAGCAGACCTGGGAGGGGGGCTTACAGAGGCTGTACCTTGGTGTCCCCATCATTCTCTGCTGGCTACCGTATAATTTCTTTAGTTTACCCAAGAGTAGCATCTTCTAAGTTCCTATCATTTGGAATTATCCAGCCATCGGTGATTAGATCTCACTGTTTAGGTTTTGGACAGGGACTGATATTAGTGAACGACCTCTGACACCCGGGGACCAAGAAAGATGGAATTAGCCACGGTGTAGCCCAGCTGAGCGCAGTTTCCAACGATAGTGAGTCACAGCGTGGCATGGATTAAGCGGATTCAGCACCAGGTGTCCGCCACTGTGAGCCGCCGGAGGAGTCGTGATCTCTGATTTAATGGGAAAATGCTTCCTGCAATGAACTTTAAAGAGAAGAGGGATTGCAGGCGGCTCTGCGGTCCGCAGCCATTATAATCGATGGCCTTGTCCACATGGCCACAGCAGACTGACTCACAACAGCATCACGGGGTGCGGTCTGAAACGTCTCCTGAAATATCATATTTGAATATTAAGGGGCCTGTCTAAACCAGGCCGAATGTAATCTGTCATTATTATCATTACCTTTCTCCCCACCTTTATGTAAATGAGGAAGCACCTAACGGGGGGGAATCTGTGGTAATTATATCAGAGAGGGACACATTTAACATGCCTAGATTTGGACTCTTCCACTCCAATGGGTTCTCCTCCTTAAATTGTGGCTGGAGATTTTGAGCAGTTTGCTCCTGTCCCTGAATATACCAGTGGGGTATATCAGGGGTATTTCAGGGTTTGCCGTCTGCCGACCTCACAGGTGACCCTGTTACACTGGAAATAGTGCATCATAAGGGGACCAGTGAGTTCGGATGAGCTTGTGCAGGCAGGAGCTTCAGCTGCACATATAATGAACAGTATTGACTGCTTGATAGATTTTCTACTTTAAAAAATTAATTTGTCCCCGATTAGTGTGGGCATGATATGTCTGAGATTCTTTGTCAGTCTTGAAAAGCCTTTTGAGCCGTAAATGAGCAGCTCTCGCTGTGTGCCTCCGATAGCCTCCGATAGCCTCCGATAGCCTGGCTGCACAGAAACCAGAGCCTTGATATGCCACCTTCGCTGGGGGAGACAGTGTCAGTCCGGGCCTGAATTCAGTCCTGACTGATCACCATTCCCGGCCCATAATCCGCTCCCCTATTGACAATCTGTATGCATATACTGTAACAATCTGTGGGGCTCCACTCATAGGGAAGCAGAACAGACAGGCCTGAATTTCCAGCACCTTCTTTTGAGACCTTCGGCTTTTTGTGCCTGCAGCACATACTGTACATATTTAAATATGGTGCATTAATCATCGGCATTTGGGGCTAAAAGACGGGGGGAGTGTTTACCTGCTTACCTGCCCCCCTCAGTAGTTGCAGCCCAGTCTAAAGATTCATACTGTACATACTGCTCTGTCCCATCAGCTAAGGCAACTGCACTGCAACATCCCAGCACCGCAGTGGTTGTGATTGTCGCCAAATGAGTTTGAGTGATATGCCCCCCCCCCCCCCCCCCATCTTGGCAGTGAGGCTCACTTTACATCTGCTAAGTGCATCGTGGGGTAGCCTCACCCCCTTTATCTAGGTGTCAGCCCCATGCGGAGGATCCAGGCCACAAACCATAATCCTCCAAGTAGAAATTTGCGTAACAGACACAGATATTCAATAGTAAAAAACATGCAACATTTTTATTTCTGCAAAACCTGCCAATATGCAAGATACTAATTATGTACTTTGAGAACGACTTATAAAGATAGACTGGCTTGGTCTGAATAGTAACCAAAATAAACCCCCAAAACACATGCACTCATATTTCTATCTGTGGTGAAGTTCAGAACTCTTTCTCTGTGAAATCTGCTGTTTAAAAGGCCTTTTGCTTCACATATGAGCACCGCGCTGAAAACACTTGCGCTCCAAGCGCATGCAATAAGCGGGTTTTTATTGCCGTTGCATCTGTACCGGCTATTCAGCACCGCCTGCCTGTCCAACACTATTTACATATTGATCTGGATGAAATGCAACAAAACGTTTATTCTCCAGCCAGCGGTGAAATCATACAGCAGGTGCGAGTGCAGGGAGGGGGAATCGGCGACATGATGTTTGTGTCCCATTTGCTGCTGCCAATGTTCTACCTCGTGCTCTACAGAGCAGAAAAATGTAAGTTTCGCCTTTGAGACCCCGCACTCAGAAGATACCACCTGTCAGGGTTCTGGAGGCTGGAGCTGATGCCCTGCTCCCCCCCCCCTCACCCCCCGCCTGTGCAGGTCCCTTCGGTTCACTTTAGCTCTGTTTTTCTCTCTTCCTCCCTCCCTTCCTGTGCAGCCCTGGCCAGCAAGCAGACATACATCAACTACAGCAACCACGCGATATAGGAGAAGACAGCCTGTCCCGATGCCCCTGGGTTTGGCACTGCAGAGGACGGGACTCATCCACGCTGAAATGCTGCTGCACCGGGAAGGTGGCAAGGCGGGCAAAGGGTTCGGGAGGGAAAAACCTATGAGCCGAAAAAAAAAGAAAAAAAAAGATAATAATACCAATTAAAAATAAGCAAATCATGAGATGGATGTTCAGGGGAGCAGGTGTGTCAGGCAGATGCCATACACAGATTCAGGGAATGTTCCGGACAGGCCAAAAACAAATGTGGTAATGATACCCCAGTGACTGAAAGGTAGCTGCTTGTCACGTTAGTTGGGGGGCGGGGGGAGGGGGGAGGGGCGTCGCTGTATCATGACAGTGAGACTGGTAGGACTGTCTTTTCTGATATTCCATCGCTCTTTCCTTTCATTTTCACAACGTGTTAGCTAGCTATTATTTGTTGGGAAAAATTATCTGTGCTATTAAATGAAAAAAATGATTTAATAATCATTCCGATTCTTATGTGCTGAATTCTGCCGTTTGACATTTTGTTTGTTTATTTGATGCTGAAGGGCTGAAAAAAATCTTCAGTCAGCTGATTCATCAGCGTCAGTTATTATTGGATGTTCTTTTGGCTATTTATTTTTAGTTTTGTTTTTGTGCTTTTTTTGCCATGGTCACTTTTTAACAAAGAAAAAAGTAGTTTCAAATTATTTTTCAGTTCATACGGAATATGCAGAAAACATTCAGGTTTAATATTACTTTTTCTACAGAGACAAAGAAGGAGCTGTTTATTTTTTGTGACAAAAAAATGGCAGCTTGCAAAAATGTTACATGAAACATTTGTCATTTTTATAAGCTGTCTTTACACCCAAAAAAATCTAAAAAGTAAGATCATCTACGGTTTTATGTATTAATCAAGATTATGGTATGAAGATACATTGCAACAGTGTCTGAGTATTTGCTATTTTTGGGGGTCAAGCATGCCTGTCTGAACTCATGCCGTCCGTGCTGTTTCGTTTACGTCTTGCGGAATGAGCATCGTCAAGTGGTACCACTTTGCTGAAGCCTGCCATCGGTGGGGCCGGACCGGTGGAGACTCCGGGTGGTCCGTCTGTGTTTTGTGTTTAGCTGTTTGCCGCTATCGCCAGTCGTGTAAGCGAGGCCGGTTGCCCCGGGCTACACTGCTGGACAACCAAAAACTAACCCTGCCAGCCATCCTGCCCTGTTCCAGCATCGTTACAGGCCGTAACCCTCGTTACAGCGGCACCGGTGCGGGTGGCCGTCCGCAGCCATCCCCGCTGTAATTAATTATGAGACACATGTTCGAAGAATACAGCCTGGGGCAGTTTTTTAATTAAGTGGATACTTTTTTTTTTGTTTTGATTGATCGAAATCAATTAAAGGATTCAATGAAATATGAAGAAACTGAAGATTACACTGACATAAAAAAAAAATGAAGAAAAAAAAGCATGTTCATAACATATTGACTATGGAGCTTCCGGACTGGGGGCCGTGTTGTGATGGACAGGTGTGTCCGGGGTGGGTGGCAACAACCTATTTAAGGTGGCGACATCCTATTTAAGGTGGCAACAACCTATTTAAGGTGGCACCATCCTATTTGAGGTCCAACAGAAGGCTGTAGGGACTTGAATAAAAACTCCCAGGGCTCTCGGGGGTTCAAGACGGATGCAGCTCCACACTGACAGATCACTTCTGGGGATCTTCACCACTCAGCTAGTCCTCCCTGCAGAAACAGCAGCAGATGTTGTGGTGGAATTAAGGTGGAATTAATTTCTCGTCCTTTCTTTTCGTTTTCCTGAAATAACTATTGTGTGATTGTTTGTGGTCGTGTAAACAATATTTTACTTTTTTTTTAAGTGGTTCCACTTTCCATTATTTTATCACTTTCAACACTGTCTGGGATGCAAAATAGATTACGTAACTGCTGACCAAATGAAATGGCAAGTAAATGTATTTTATTCGTATGGATCAATAATGTCTTTATGTATTGAAATATATATATATATATAAAAATAGATCATTGCAGTGCCTGGATATTTGAATTCTCTATAAAACACATTGGAAAACGTGTGAGCATGTTCATTTTTATACAAAAAAATCTTTCTAACAATAAAAAAAAAAAATTTTGCAAATAGAATCCTTGCGTCCCATGTTGGATAAAGAGTATGATCCATTCACTAACATTTACACAACGCAACTGTTTATTATGCAACTGATTCGAGGCACGTGGTTGATAAAGCTTTATGATTTCCTCCAGGTTACTGGAACTTGAAACAAACACAATGGGTGCATCTGAAATCACATACTTACACAGTATGCACTGTAATTCGGTATAAGCATGCTGTTACCATACTGCGTACTGTCTGTATGCATGAGAACAGTCCGCATGCACTGGGACATAATGTAACTGCTGCCTCGCATATTGACCCCCACTGAAGCTAAAAATTGTACAAAACTGTCAAAGAAACATCATTTATATTTGATGCATCCAATACATCAATTTATACACAGCAGCCAATTGGAATTAATAGGCACACCAACTTTGGTCACATGACTGTCTATCCCAAGACTGCTTCAACCCCCTTCTCACAGCGATTTACTGCATTATACTACAGCAGGTAACTTTACCTTGTCCGAAATTCATGGCCTTGTTTCGTATACAGTTTGCAACAATTCATAACCAGGTCGTAAGAATTGGATGCAATATCTGAAGAGTGAAAAAAAAGAGTGATATAATGCATGAAAATACAGCCATAGAACATGAAAGAGATGCAGAATGAATGAAAACAGAAAACCTTCGTTTTTTTGTCTTTTAGAGCAGTGTTTCCCAACCCAGTCCTCGGGGAACCCCGGTCAGTCCACGTTTTTGCTTCCTCTCAGCTCCCAGCGCACCTGTACCAGGTATTCGGTGCTCCTGATTGGCTGGGAGCTGGGAGGGAGCAAAAATGTGGACTGTCCGGGGCTCCCCGAGGACTGTGCTGGGAAACACTGTTTTAGGGTATCAAATTTGCTCGGTCGTGAACTTATCCAGAATCTTCGTCTGGACTGTCGAAACCAAGAAAGAACACAGCAGCACCCGCTCTGTGAGCTGCTCAGCCAGAGCGTGCTGAGCTCAGCCAGATGGAATCAGAGAACAGAAGTGACTCTGTGTTTTGGAGATTCCTCTCCAAATTTACATCTTTACATCTTCCTCTCCTTATTTACATCTTTCTGTCAATATTATAAGCACCCTATCATTCACTGTTCACCATCTGTTGTTTAGAAATGAGGGGAACTGGTCACTGATTTGGCATAGAAAAACCGTAATACCATTAATGGTTATCATTATAAAGTAATAAAAACCAAAAAATAGTGAATATTCTGCACCCTCTGGTCAATCCCATTATTGTTACCTTTCAAGGTGAAATAAAGGTGAAATTTTAATGTGTAATGTTTAAACCACGACAGTCAGTGCATGCTAAACAGTGCCCTTACCACGCTCTGTTCTCCCGCGCCGTCGATGTTGAAGTCCCATCTTCATCGTGACATAAACAGGGCCACCCTGGCAGGCTTGAGATTGGCACCAAGATGCCCACACATAACATGCAGCAGCCCTGTAAGGGGCACTGTGGGGAATTCTTACCCCTGAGGTCTATCAGCCTGCCCCTGTGAAACACTACGGTACCTTAAACCTTAAAAGGGCCATTTTGGGGCCTGCTAGTCTGTGGGACGCCCTGCCCGCGCTGTCCTGAGACGATACCACTGGCACACTAATACTAGACATACAAAACAATTTAAATGCACTCATACTATGTAGAGGAGCGGGAAGTGATTTACTATCAACTGTAGTGCCTACTTTAATTTGTAAGGCCATTAGCCCTGGAGAGAACGGGCAAAGAATTTAATCTTTTTTTTTCCTCCCACGCAGAGCTCTGTGTGGAACCATAACCATTTTGCTCGACTGAATCAACACCCATACAGGGGTGCCATAAATGGCTGGATAGTCTGAGCCATTCCGGGAGCCCTGATGTGGAAAGGAGAAGATGCCAGCCGTCTGCAGCTGGGGGTCCAGAAGACCCCGGATTTCTAGCCTGGCCTCGCGCACCCATCCATCACCCATAACCGCCTTCCCAGTACAGGGCTGTGACCAGCCTGCAGCCTTTCACTGGCGGCTCAGGAAACTGGACGGCAGACATCTGACTCAGGATGCCAGTCGTGGGACACGTGCTCACAAGCACACAATGAGTAGTTTACTCCATCCACTTAACCAGGAGGAGGCCAGAAGAAAATAAACCCAGGACACTGTGGTGGGACCGTCAGCATCACCAAACAGCAAGCAGCCATAAACCAAAGCAAATCTTTGCCAGCGCCTAGCTGTGCTTGGTCATGCGTACAGTGACTTTCGAGACTGAATCCCAAGCTAATTGTCGCATAGCACTGGACGGTTATCTCTCCGATATAAACTTTATCCTCTGCTGAGCCGAAAAATCGGCTCCTCATTTCTACTTAAAGAACATCAATCTTTTACGCAACAGGAGAGTTTTCCAAGCTTGAAAGAGCACTTTAGTCAGTAACACAAAGTTACTGCTCACCTAGAGCAAAGTGCGCTCAAAATATTCCATTTAACAAGTTTTCTGCTGGATGGTGTCACAGCAAGACGTGGTTTCTGAAAGCTCGTGGATGGATATTGGGACTATTTCACAAATAAAGAACATACACACTGTAGTTACCTTCACTTCCAGGAACACTTACATTATTTATTTCTCAAAAAGCCCCGAAAAGTCCAGAATTGCGTACACTTGATGAGCAACCTTTAATGATAATATGACACATATTAGGCTTGATTCCCAGCCCCAGCTGCATGTGGAGGGAGTTTGCATTCTTCACATCTTTGTGTTGTGTTTCCTCTGAGTTCCTGCACTTCAAAAACATGCAATTATGAAAAGCAACATCTCCAAATTGGCCTTAGTGTGTAATTGCGAGTGTGTTCGTCATCTGATGGACCGGCATCCCAGCCAATGCATCCCCTGCTTCCAGCCCCAGACGTACCAGGACAGGCACCTGGCGAGCATTTACGGAACATCGATGATGTTTTTATTTTGATTCATTCCCCTTAATTGGGCTACTCTCAAAGCATGGTGCACAAGTGACAGTTTCGCAGAATGCGACGTGCAAGGAAGCACGGTGGGTGAGGGTGTCGGCAAATCCAACAGGAGAAGTGAGATCTATGAATATTTATACCTATTTATAAATATGGCCTACCCCCCCCAATCAGGTGAGCACAGTTCCAGTGGCATGGCTGGGTGGATGGAGAGGTGCCAGTCTCCACAGGGCAGTCGTGTCCTGACTGTCTATACCTCACAGCAACGATGGCATAAGCAGCTTCCTTAACTCCTCCAAAGCTACTGCCCAGAAGACAGTTCAACCCCCTGGTTAGGGCAGTTAGGGCAATTAGCAACCACCAGGATCTTCCTCTTGGCACTCAGGGTGGCTCGCTGTGAGGAAACCATGACTACCATTGCCCACATGGTGCTGATCACCCCCCGCTGGTGCAGATCCACAGTGCACCTTCACAACATACTAATTTGAGTTCTGTAGCTCAATAACAGCAGAATCCCTCCTGATGCCAGAACAAAAACAAGTCATCACAGGCCCTTATAACAGGCTACTGAAGTCACTGGCCAGCATGGGAACTTTCATCTGTAGGGCGATGCTTCTCAACCCGGTCCTTGGGGACCTGCAGACAGTCCACGTCTTTGCTCCCTCCCGGCTCCCTACCGAGCAACAATGTGGATTATCTTGCAGAGAGCTGGGAGGGAGCAAAAACGTGGAGCGTCTGGGGGCCCCCAAGAAAATGCTGGAAGCAAACTGCAGAGAAATGGGAGCTTTCCTGTTCTCTTATTTCAACATTTTTAGGAAAAAATAAAGTCCTTACCTTCATTAAATGTAAGTGGAGTGTAGCAGCTGGAATTGCGCTTGATTAGAGTGGGGGGTTAAAATGGATCAGTCCATCCTGGGTAACCCAGAGCACTTTTGGCCTGACATCGGCCTATATGGTGTGAAAGCTACAAAAGATAACGGCAGCTATCTCCGACATAACGAGGATGATGACAGTGGTGATGATGACGGCACAAATCACAGCCCAGAGGGTCACCTCCAACTTTCTGACATCAAATTCGCTTCATTCCCCATAAATCCAGTTGAATGTACTTTAAATTACTTTTGGGTACTATTCATTACACATTTTTTGCTAAAGAGAGATTGATAGCTTTATTAATATGTCTTAAAGATGCTAGTTACCTAATTAAAAGTTAAGATTTAAGATTTTCTTTTTGAACGGTGCAACAATCCTCAGATATGCAAGCCCTGGATATTATTTTATCAGGATCTGTTTGAAATAAACACCGATGGAGGCTGATGAGAGTCATGCTCCCGGAGTCTGTGTGTGCATGGGGTGGGGGGGACCTGTTAATTAGACGTTGTGGGAACATGTATTTTGTCTGGTTACTTATGAGTTGGGATTGCAGCTGTCATAGTTAGGGTTAGAGTCATGCCCATACAAATGATACCTAATCTCTGTGAGTCTGTGTGTATGGGTGGGGTGGGGGGGGGGTAATGTATATATTACATTGCGGGTACCAAACGTCCCCACAGTGCGATAAAAACCTGTTATTCTGACGTTGTGGGAATTTTGTTGAAAGGAAGCTCAATTTCATAAAAATCTGTGACTAGTCAAAAAACTAATAAGGTAATTCCCACAAAGATATAAATATAAACGTATGTGTGTGTGTGTGTTCTTCACCTGATGTGGAAGGGAACCAGTTTCCATTGTTATCTCCTGAGATAAGGCTTCCTGATTTGCCTTGTTTTATAAAGGACTTTGCAGTGAGATTGAGTATCTGTTTCCCCTGGAGACAGTGTCAATATACAGATGAGACATGACACCGAAGTGAGGATGAGATATGAAACATACAGCCTTTGACAGTGATACTTTATAAAGGTCATTTTTAATCTACACACGTCCATCGAGTTCAAAGATTTCATAAATCTCTAAGAAACAGGCAAATAATCCTTTTTCATAAAACATACTGAATATCTGCTCAAAAATGAAGATATGTTGTGTATATGCTCACATATATAGACGTATAACCACACGTGTGGCCCAGTGGCTTAGGGCTTAGCTTGTGGTTTCATACTCATGTGGTTCTCTCTGCAGTTGTCTGCTCAGAGTCCACTGTTCACCCCTGTCGTCCTGCAGTCCAAATACACTTCTATAAATTGCCCATTTTACTTGCAGCAATACATATATATGCTTTAAACAATATTTAAAGACAAAATAATAGCATAAAGGAGAAATAATGCAGCTTTTTGTTTGATTATTTTATATATAATTCCCAGTAATGCACACAGCATTGCTATGGGTGATGCAAATGTCTCCCTGGCCAACATGCTACTGCGATCGGATTGGCTGTGCGTCACATGGTATCACCATCCAGCCCCTCCCACCCCCTAGGAATGATGTCACAGTGTGTGGTGCTGAAAGGGAAGTGGGGGCTGGCTATGGCCTTGGCTCATCCAGAAGGCTGGCCCCGGCATTAACATCCTTTTCATCATGCAAAGTCAATAACAAAGTGGCGAAACCCATTTTTGAACCGAAGTGCTGCCACGTGATAACTACAGATCATCAGGATTTAAAAGAAGCCGATCTTCAAATGGTTTGACTGGACAAATTACCCTGCAACCTCCAGATGAAAATAACCAAAATATATATACAGTATATAACGATTTAATATAGAGGCACCAAACTCACACACCTTTTTCTGCTCATCAGTCATTCTTCTCCAGCAGAAAAAAAAACCGAAAGTAATCATGAAGGAATAACTTGTATATGTTGTGTAACTGTGTTTGATAATTGCACAGAAAGCTGAGAACAAGCAGCTTAGAGGGGAGAGATTAATGGTTACTAGACGGTTGATCCTTCAGGCCCTTTGCCCTCGACCACGACTCTAAATGGCCCTTTTCATCTGAAGACCCATGAAAGAGCTGATAGCCCTTCATTTAGAGTATAAAAGGCAGGCAAATAACAACCTTGCTAAGTATATGTGTCTCTTTATGGAGCCGCAGACAGAAAATGATCATGTTCTTTTTGGCTGAAATTATGTGTCGATTGGACTAAGCCTCATTTTCCCAATTTCGCATAATGTCACCCTAGATGTTAAATTAAATAAATTAGCTGTTTAAATTATCATCCTACTACCTTACAGACTCTGCGGTACACTTACAGAAGATGAGCACGTCCTGAGATGTACGAATACTACAGCCAGGTTCCCAATTCTGGTCCTGGAGGGGCAGTCTGCAACACACCGACTAAACCTGGTATCTGATTAAGATGTGATGAGCAGGGAAACCTGCAAACTGTGTTGCAGACTGGCCCTCCAGCCTTGGAATTGGGGAACTGTGTGGTGCAGGGTAGTGAGAGGTAGTGTGACAGGACAGGCATGGGCGGTGGCCACGGCAAACAGGTTCCCCCCTTAGTGAAACCACTGTTAGAGTCTGCTAGGGTCAGATGGGTGCCACAGGGAAATTTGGAAGGATGGCTTCTCTGTGGATTAGACTTGTGGGAGTCTTGTTTACATTTTTTTCGTTTATCATTCTTAAAGGGGCCTTGTACGGTGTTAGATATTTAAACTCTGCTGGCGTGTATATACCCTGTTACGTGTAATGGTCTTGGGGGTGGTGAGTGTGGCTCAGTGGTCTATCTGGCCGTGATTAGAATATCGCTGGTTTGAGCCCCGTCCTCATCAGAACAGTCACATGTCTGTGGGCCCTTGAGCAAGGACCTTACCCCGCAGCTCCGGGGGGGGCTGCATGTTGACTGATCCTATCCTGCAACCCCCAAGCTACAGAGAGCAAGATGGGGCAGGCGAAGAGAGGAATTCCAATGTACTTATACTCATAATAAAGGATTTATCATTTTATCTTGGAAGGCTTTGGAATGTGCAAAGCGTACAAGGCAAGAGAAGAGTGTAGCTGATAATATACATTGTGATATTTAGAGATGCCAATGCGTATAGGTGTCCATCTGCAGGAGTGAAGAGGAGTAACTGCACAGATCAGCAGGGGGGGGGGGTTCAGATCCCTAACCTTGGAGCTACAATGCAGCAGTGGGAGCCATTTAGCCATGGCACTGCTACCTGCTAATAAGTCCTGAGACGAACGTCAGAGGCTAATGCATTTCATAAATACTGTAAGCCTTTTTGCGGCTGGTATATTTTCAAGCAAGTGTAAATTGGTTATTGTATTACTCTCAGTTTTGATTGCTGTCGCTTGCAAAATCGTTTTACATTAATTGATTGTGTCTGTGAAACTGCAATTTATTTTTGTGCTAAAGACAGAAAACGAAATAGTTTTCCTTCTCTCTTGTTTTCCTTAATTACATGCTGTAACACCAACCTGCAATGCTTCATATTTATGAAAAATTTAAAAATGTATTGGATTTTTGGTCCATATTTTGCTTCAGCTACTGGAATGTCCTCGGCTATTGCAGGCTATTCTGCAGTTTTATTTTTACCTCAGCCTTTTTTACTGTGTTTATACTAATGTTTTTTCCTGGTCTCCGGAGTAGGATTTCTAGATGCAAATTTATTAGCTCTTGATGTTCACTTAAAATTAAATGCGAAGCTATTTCCTGTCTAGATGATTACTTCAGGGGCAGCATAGTTCCAAGGTTGTGGGTTTGATTCCCGGCCCCCGTTCCATGCGTGGAACTCGCTGGATGATCTCATATATTTGGGTTTTCTCCTACAGTCCAAACACATGCAATTGCAAGCGAATTGGTTTCTCTAAATTGCTTCCTGACTCAAAGCCTCCAGTGAATCTCTACTGCATAAGTCGCTGGAAGATGGATGGGATGAATGGACGCCCCCTGGGGGGCTTAGGCGATAGGATGCTTAGCAGCCTCTGGAGATGCCAACCAGGCTTCTACTCTACTCAATATTTCAATTCAACTCTCCTCCCAAAAGTCAAAGTTAGGCCTTAATTTGCAAAGAATATTAGTAATCTACTGAATGCTGTGCACGGATTAGCAAGTCAATAAGACTTGAAGAAATAAAACTGAACCCTGTCTTCACGGATAAACGTAGAGGAAACTGACATCTTTTCTCCATCATTCTCCACAGCTCTAGGCGATCGTCACTTGTCATTTATTGCACCATTATCATTTTATTATTTAGTAGTTGAAATATTTCACCATTAAATAATTCAACATCAAATTATTTAATTTGTAGGATCTTGTACTATGCTTGTAATGTACTGTGTGCCTCACTTGTTCACTTGTATGTCACCAAAAGCGTCTGACAAATAAATAGATGTTCCTGCTATATAACATAAGCAGGATGATTTGGCAAAAATTCCCACAGACCCTCCAAAATATTGTAGAAAGCCTTCCCAGAAGAATGGCAGCTGTTATAGCTGCAAAGGGGGAACCAGCTCCATACTGATGCCGATGGAATTAGAATGAGACGTCATACAAGTTCCTGCGGGTGTAATGCCCAGGTGTCCCAATATTTTTGTCCATAGCATGTAGATCCTGTAGAAATATCCATACATCTATCCATGTCCCGTAGCCACTAACGCATCACTGGGTAGTTATGAGCCTCTGCCAGAGAGGTCAGAATGACTACAGATCATTTAATATGAGTTTAAACATTTCACTCAGTGGAGTCCGAGTTCACATTGGGGTTTCACATTAAAGGTCCACGCGAAAGGCACATGGACAATGAAATGTCTGCACATCCCCATGGGAGAGTAAGCAGTGAGTCGCCCTGGCATCAGGCCGCTTCACTGCATTGTCGAGTCGCCCTGGCATCAGGCCGCTTCACTGCATTGTCAGCTATCGCCAGTTATTGCTGAACTCAGCCTGAGACCTACAACACTGGTACACAGAAAATCAGTGCCTAATGGAAATGTACAGGACAGTGTCACAGTGCTTTCTAGCTGCACTAAATGAGAGCCCAGAAAACACGTGTTGGAATCATATGTTGGTGCTTGGATCCATCCGGAGTCGGATTAACCCCCCTCCAGCAAGAAAACTGAGAACTATTTCATGTGACTTGGAGAGACCTTAGGCTACTGCCTATAGCTTGACATACTACAGTATACATATACATATGCATATTTTTTCATGAGCTTGGATACATCCCACTAATATGTGGGGAATCAGTCAGTAAAACAGTTTAAAATATTTTCACAGGCAATGAGGGGACTAGAAGCCACACCTGAGTGTGACCTTGGATGTTGCAAGCAGAGATTACAGATCAGTAGAAGAACAGTCTAGAACAAGGAATAATCCTGATGTTAAAAGACTGATTTTGAAGGTGAATACATATGCCTTCTGACAAAGTCAATTTGATCTGTACCTTCAA